CAAGCCGGCGATTGCATAGCCCCCCCCCCGCCAGCGCCACCGCGCGAGCGCCATGCAATCCGACCCAAGTCGACGATTGCATAGCCTCCATCCAGCGCCGCCGCGCGCGCGCCTGCAAGTCGACCCAAGTCGACAATTGCATAGCCTCCATCCCGCGCCGCCGCGCGCACGCCTGCAAATTCGACCCACGTCGACAATTGTATGCCTCCGCCAGCGCCACCGCGCGCGCCACCTCGCAACTCGGCCCCGGCCGCCACTTGCCTTGCCCCCCCCCCCCCCCCCGGCGCCCGCCGCTCCCCCCCCCCGGCGCCCGCGGCCTCCCTACCGCCGCGTACCCCCTGCCCGCACCCGTGTTGCTTCCCCGCCCCGCAGCCTATCGCTGCGCCCACCTGCCACCGGTCATCCTGCTGTCCGCCACCTATCTCCATTGTCGTTGTCCTGTTGTTCGATCCACTAGGCCAAGTATCCGCCGTGCACACCGTGCAACACTCAACCGGCGTCTCCTAAGCCAGAGCACTGTTCTCCGCACTTCCATCACAAATATGGAGTAGGTCCCTGTGTCGCAGCGTCACTCCTCTCCTCTCGCGGTCGCGGCCGCTCCCCGACTGAGCTCCCCATGTTATTGCCCGCCCGTCCTGTTTGCGGTCCCCCGGCTCAGTGCCGCCGGTCGCGGCTGGAGCCCTCAACGGGTCTTATCGGCGGCGGCCGATAAGACGGTCAATAACAAACATGTAGTCCTGCCTAGTGACAGCAGATTGTCACTTGTCATCAGCACATCCCTTGTCATGTCAGCACCCTTGTCGCAATTCATGCGTGAATTAAGAACAATGCAAACCGAAGCGATTAGTCATGTACAGAAAATAGCGCGAGCCCAAGAGTCGAGCAGATAAAAGTGAGCATTATCTTTTTGTGGGCGAAGGTCGCCTTTTTCGGAAGCCCTGGACTTGGATAACATTCCGATGTGACGTCATCTCTGAACTATGTCTGGCGGAGAGAATAGCTCGTTATTCATCGGCGATGACAGCGATCAGACAGCAGCGACTGGAGATCTGGAAGCGATAGACGGTCGCGACTGAAATAACTATGATACTATAAATGTTTCTGCCTTGCAAACAAGACGGGTGAAATGCTAAATGCTATTGTTGACTGGAGCTACACAGCTCACTCATTATCGTGCTCATTATTAATTAACAGTGTTCAATACGTGCACCGTTTAATTGCTTATTTGTTGACGTTCAAGCGAATCGGGTACACAGCTTCTCAAATGTGTTCTTGATTCATTTAGTCGTTGAAGCGAAGAAATGCATCAGCGAGCTGAGTGAGCAATGTTGTCAGCAGTCATCTCCTATATCGCCTTTCATTTAGATTGTCCGGGTGAACTTTGACAAACCTCACTTTATAAACAGACCCGTTTTTTGTCCTCTGAAGCCAGATATTCGTGAGACAAGAAGGGTGAACTTTACCAAAACATGAAGCCCCAATGAATCTCGGTCAGATCGTCTCTGTAGAATCATCAGTCATCTGTAGGGAACAGCTGAAATAGGTCTAGCTTGACATCCCCAGGGGAGGCGATGACACAGTCACACCTGAACTCACTGTTAACCAGTGGCGCACCCAGGCACGCCAGCCAAAAGGCTGTGTGACAATCTACCACACTCACCCTGACCGCTGACCCAATCAAAACATTGTCCGACAGACGTCCCAGACTTCGAGCTCGTCTTACACCACTGCAGTTTTGGGAACCACGTCCTCAATGAACCCTGGTCCATTTATAACTTAGTAGTTAGTATAAAAACGCTCCATGAGAAACTGATTGTTCATTAGTCCAGGCCCGCAAGTGTCAAGACAGATCAGATTGATCTAGACATGCCGTTTTGAGGTCACTTCAGAATAACACTTAGCCAACAGGTACAAAAAGCTGAAAACATGAGCTGTACAGTACACACCTAAGTACAGTGGCACTGCTCTGTTTCGTCACACAGGTCGCTGAGTTATGGTCCATCAAATCCAAGCAAATAATAATAATAACAAAATATCGCTATAACGGTTCTGTGCTGGCAACTGCTGGCCATTCTGTACGGCTTGCTAAATAAATGGCTTCAAATGAGAAATGTGAACGTCACGTCACTTCCCTGATTTTCAGAAAGGTTCTCTCTCTCTCTCTCTCTCTCTCTCTCTCTCTCTCTCTCTCTCTCTCTCTCTCTCTCTCTCTCTCTCTCTCTCTCTCTCTCTCTCTCTCTCTCTCTCTCTCTCTCTCTCTCTCTCTCTCTCTCTCTCTCTCTCTCTCCCTCTCGCCTCCCCGTACACACATAAACGCTTGCGACTTTGAAGCCCACTCATTTGTCAGTCAGATAAATAGATTGTTGACTGTGTCACCAGGTGGGTCACTGTCCCTCCTGCGGTGTTCGGTCAACACGGGCGACTCTCTTCTGTTTCCCATTTGGTCGCCGACTCTGTGGGAGCGCAGTTCGGGAAAGAAAACATGTTTATCGTGTGACCGCGGCGGCTCGGTCGCCTGAAGCGGTCCGCGAGCCGCTGGGTGTTTGCTGCCAGATAGGAAGCTATCTGTGAGACGAGGCCAGAGGGCGTGTTTGTGTCGCTAACCCAGAACAGAGTCTCCCCATTGACAGACGACATTGTGAGAAGTGATGGCCTATTGAAGAAAATTCCTATACCGAAACATAGTGATTTTTAGGGGTGTTTAACAACGGCTGAATCTAGAAGATTTCTCATTAGATGTGTGCATGTTCTAGCAGTCGAAGCATAGCGCAATGATCATGAAACATGGTTTGAAATAGAATATTACTAGTGGCGGATCCAGGGGGGGGGGGCAAAATGGGCATTTGCCCCCCAAACGGCATAATTTTAACATTACGCCTATGGACGATGCATGGAAAGAATCGATAAATTGTTATGGTTTGCCCCCCAAAAAACTCTGAGCTGGATCCGCCTCTGAATATTACAGAACCCACCTTCGGCCATATTGAGTGAGCACTTCTCACTGGTGAAGTTTTTTTTTCTGGGGAAAATTTGCAAACAAACCGTATACGAACACACATTGTGGCAAACTGTTCCTATCCTTTTAACCATTTCACTTGTAAACCACAGGTGAAACAGAGAGCGACAAAAACTGCACACAATGGCGACATCGATCCCCTTTTATTAGCCTCCTGTCGGCGTTTTTTGTCGCGCCATTGTTTTATCCCAGCGTGCGCCGTACATGTTTTTTTCGGGATTGATCAATAACCAGAAGTCTTTGTCTTCTTTCCTCGGAGTTGTGCAAATGCAGCTTTTCTAATTATTTGAAATGGTAAGATATATCCCATTCTGTTACATAATTTATCCACATGGCTTTGACCTGTATGTGCGTGCAGAGTGACACGATAAAAGGTAATTTGATATGCATTTCATTAAAAATCACATTTAAATCTTTTATTGGGATGGTTTAGAAGGAAAGTTATAATCTTTCTCGGTCACTTACATAGCATTCCTTGAATATGATATCTCTATAAAATAAATTATCATTTCTACAACCTCACTGTGATTTGCCTCGGATGGGCTCTGTTGACATTTTCCCACGCCCACAGCTCCCACCGCCAGTGTGTTGTCCCAGTCCCACACACAGTGTCCCAGTGCCCCAGACTGAGCAGACTCCCGTTCGCGCCAAAACTCCCGCGGCGCGCCACCACACCCTCCAGCACGACGCATCAAATAACAATAACTCACCCCTCGCCAGGCCGGTTAGCGCCGTATGAAAAATGACGCCCGGCCTCTGACCTATTAGCTCATCGCTCGAGATGGGACTATTATTTGCACTTCCGCCGGCCGAATGGGACAGTGTGCGGCGGGCGCCGGGTAGGCCGGTTCCGATCAGCTCTCCCACGATTATGATAGTACGGACTGATCGATTCAGTTGTAAGGCAGGGACAGGTCCGTTCGCTGAGGTAATGCTTAGACACCATGCCCCCGGCCAAAGGCAGAAGCCCTTTCAGATTGGGAAATATATGGGTGCGGGTAATTTGTGCCACGCCTTTGTACCCTTGATTGGTGAGGTCGAGTGAACCACTGTATTATAAAAATTATTGATTGACCCTGACGCACTTACCACGCTTTAGAAGCGATGAGGCTTCTATCGAACCTCGACGTTGCTTTTGAAGAAGGCGCACACTGTTGTGGTCCGCTCTCTTTCGCCTTTACATTATCCTACCGCACTTGATATTCCTCAACCCTTACATATTTACCTTAACACTTTTTTACAACCTTCCAAGACAAATGACGTCATTGGTACAGTCTGACCAGGACATTTCCGAAACGAGCCGGCCACCGCCCCTGTTACTACGGTGATCCATCTCGTCCTCCAAGGCCCACGGCGAGATTAATGTGGGGGCTTTCCGACAAGAGTGTTAGCCGTCCCCCAACAAGCCCTTTTGGTGGTTTCTGACGCCGGTGAGGTGTGTCCCTGGCTGCCGAGGTAATGGGTTTCGCCAACTGTTCGGCGCACCGTTGGGCCTTTCGTAATCGCCGCTGTCGGGAGAGGACCCTACCCTAGAGTGTCATTATGGGTATCTACCGTTTGGTGTGGATAGTAAATATAAAAGTGATTGACGTAGGTATAAGAATGTCATTATTTTGAGTATGACGAATTATCCTAATCACCGCTGCATCTAAACAGTGTTTACTTATTCTTTTTTATCAAAAATATTTCATGTTTATTACTAATTAATCAACTAACGAAATATTTGCTCAAAATGTGAAGACGACAGCACTAAAAGCTCTCACAGTCCTTCGGCTTCCTGTTATTTGGGTCGGCTCGTCAAGACCCACAGCCTCTCCTGCGTAGAAGTGTCCTTCACACCGTAAATAAATAAACGTAAAAATCGGCGCCCACCGGCAAATTTAGCCAGTTCGGCGGCGACTCCTACCGGCCACATGGGCCAACACGTGACCTCGGCTGCTGTCACGTCCGCGTTCCTCGCGGGGGTACGACCTGTTCACACGTCTCAGCCGATGACGCCCGCCTTGGCCGGCTGCCGGCGACGGAAGGGACGCACCGGCTGCTCCGCCCAGGCTCGTGATCGGCACAACTCCCGAAATAGCCGGTCCGGTCACATGTCGGGCCAGGTCAGCGCTTCGGGTCGGCCCCGGTCGGAGGACGGACAACGCTCTGTGGGCGCCTGCCGGCCCCCCGCCGAGAGGCAAGACGCATCGCCGTCTGGACTGGCCGCCGGAGGGACAGAACGGGACCGGCGGCGGGACGGTGTCCCGGATACAGGCGAAACGGGGAGGGACAGGAGTGCGCGGAAGGGGACAGGGGCAGGACGAAATGAGATGGACCCAAACGGGAAGGCTGGCTGTAAAAACACACTTCAATGTTTCGCAAATCACAATTCCATCACCAAGTAAAATGTGCTTGAAAGCATGCAAACTCGTGAACCAACTAATTATTGGCGTCTAGAAGTTCGCGCATGCATTGCTTTTGAGCATGAGATCGGTCGTGACGACCTGACAGACGTGGACTGAAATAGATCAACAAACATGATTGAGATTGTGATGTATTTACACAGATTTAAACTGAACTCTGACTCTGAGAGCTGCTTGTTTATGCATCACACTGCTGTGCGATAACAAGACTTGTTGACTGAAAGAGATGCAACAGCGATTCCCGGCGGCAAGAGAAGATCTGAACTGGATAAAGTGGGTGGGAAAGACGGAACCGACGGAGCAGACGCCACATACGCCGCTGGAGGAGGGTGGGATGTGAGCAGAGCAGGATTATTTCCATCTGCTCCGAGGGCCACCATTTGGGGCTCGATTGTCATCATGTGCTCCAGCCTCCGTGCGACTGCCGCGCGGATTGCTTCCATATGCTGCTCTCGGCTTCCACATGCTGAGGACGAGCGGCGGACCGAGGTTAGATGGTGCCCAGGGGTGACAGATGACCATTTAGTGGCCTCAATGACCCCGTCAGAGTCCTGTGGCACACACGTGTGCTGGGAACTGGGGAGACAGTCGACAGACGTAGCAGCTTACTTCCGGACGGAGAGCAGCTAAACTATCAGACTGCCTTTGTTTTCCCTGGTATACGACAAGAGGACGCTGGAACAGGCTGGTGGTGTTAATGCTAACATGAAGATAATGGCCCATTTAGTTTTAATCCTTCGGAAAGCACGATTCCTTAAAAACTGGACCGTGCAAGGTCGAACTTCTATGAAATGTATATGGATCTTGCTTCTGATAAGCTTTCTTCGGAAACACAACCGCTCTATATGCGTATCTTTTCATCTGCGGACGCCCGACGAATACAAATGACTTGATACCATCTTCAGATTTTCTGGGTGACTGGTACCTATTATCAAATACCTATCAAATTAAGGTAATCATGTGTGCCATAATTCGAGGGTCACAGACTTGGTGAGGTCAACCTCAGAAGCGCATAGCCTTGTCAAAATATTCTGACAGCCTTATCCTCTGTTCCATATGCCATCCTCCGGGACTGTTTTTATGAACCAACAGGACAGCTTAATTGAAAGTCACGCCTTTTGCACCATGCATTGGTAATGGGCTCTAATCAAAGCCCAATCTTAATGGAGTCGTGACGGCTTGAATACGCTGTCGAATTCTGACACGATCGCCCATATTCAGCCGTGGTGGAAATCGTGATCCGTTTTTTCCCCGAGGGGGCGCGTGCCAATATCAAAGTCTATTCACGCCTGGATGAATTGAAGCGCGGTAGCCTTTCATCTGGGTCACCAGGGAGCAGAGCGGATTAAAACGCTACATGGGCTGCATCTGCCTCAGATAAAATATAGTCACAGCCATAGTCAATGCCATATAAAAAACTAACCCCAAATGAATGCGAACATGCAGACTTGCAAATGCACGGAATCATGCACTTCATGATTCTTCACTTTATGCTTTCTCTTCTCAGAAATCAGCACCATTGTATGCGCACGGTGGCCAAAGCCAGTATTCACAGCACATTTGATGACCTTTGACCCCACCTGGGCGACATCACTGACCGTAACGACCAATCCCATCAGACGCATTTAGTCGGCCTGAGTGGCCTGACCATCGGCCTCGCTATCAGCCCCAAAATGAACACTGGCGGCTCCTGCGGCCCTGTAATCGCAGCCGCCTCCCATAAAGAAGGGAGCTGGTCCCAGGTCCGCTTCGTGAGCTACTAACGGTTCACGCTGCTTACCCTCTAAAGAACACCACTATTACGCAGATGGAACCGGGCATTTCGAGTCCGAGGAACTGTCTAAATCTCTCCTTTAATCACTTAATAAAGGACTCCGTTTAATAGTTCAACCCGGCGGCAAAGCTGGCCGCTTTTTTATTAGCCACGAAGCAAATCAAATCAGGAACTGGCCCGCCCCTGCGACAGGCGGACAGCTTCTCATCTGCCGCCGGCCAAGAGACGTGCCGGGATTGTCAGCGAGACGAACGCGGCGCGGAGGACAGTCGCGGCGCAGCGGCGAAGAGCGCGGCGCGGACGATAAGAGGACCGGGCGGCTGACAGGGGCGGCTGACGGATTGAACACTGCGTGTCGCCCCGCGGGGTCACCACAATAGATGACCCGACCGAATTGTAATGACACAGTCGCCACCGCCGCCACCGCCGCCACCGCAGCGCCGCCGGAGGCGATACAAACTAGACCGGAGGTGAGTCGGAGGTCCAGAACGTCCGCGCTAAGCTACCAATCCCGCAAGCAGAGAATTGTGACGGATTACCTAGTCACGATTAACTTGTGGCTGCCGAATTAGTTACAATGCTATCCATTTTTTATGACTCTATAGTAGTGTAACTGCTTGATGGCATAAGCGTAACTTTTGCGGAAAAGTTTTTGCATGATTTATTCGATAGCCATCACCATTTCCTGCTTTTAAAAAACGAGCATCACTACAAAACGTGAACACAAACATTTTGTTGCTGAAGCACCCAGTAAACAATAGCCAATGCCCAATATGTCCTATGAATCCGAAACAATATTTTTATATCGTTTATGGAGCTCATTTACGTCATGCATATTCAAAACTCTTTCAACATCAAACTTTTAGATGCTGGCAAACTTAAGAAACCCTGTAGACCTACTCAATCTTTTCAGCCCTAAGGGAGGGGCCGCACCACATCAAACTGTCATTAAGATCCCGTTCGCTAAAACTCGAGCCAAGTCCAGCATCGGCCCTGAATACCTTATCGACGGCTGCAGCTCAGACTTTTGACGCCAGCTGAATCGCAAATGAGGTCAATCCCGCTCTGGTGATGAACGACGGAAGAGTTGCGGAGAATTTAAGGCGACCTTGAGGTGTCGATGAGACCCAAAAAGTTACTGAATGCTTTAAAGGTAGTGTGCCACCTTCCAATGATTTCCCATTTTATTTTTCCTAGGATAAGAAGCTTCTGTTTTTATCTAATATCGCAAAAAAAATCAAAAATGGGCCTGGAATAGTGCCTTTTTTGCCTAAAAGTTTATCGGTTTTTCGATATGTATAACAACTGTAGTGGGCTGACCTGCAAACAGGCGTCGGCAACAATCGCGAATGCGGCGCACATGTGACAATAAGCAAAGGTCATTATAGAGTTACGACGTACGGGAATGAGTTATCAGCTGTCTAATCGTAGACAACACAATGTCGAACCTTAAACTGTAAGCCTGTATTGGTATTGTTTCTTTTATTTGGCTGTCGAACATTATTTCTGGTTTGAAATATGATTTTATGTAAAATAATTGATATGAAAAAGCCGTCTCTTAAGTTATGACCCCATTTCACCACACGCAAGTGGCAGAAATGACAATGATCAGCTGACGCATTTTTCTTGGCCGAAGTCAGAGCGCGCAGCTCGACGCACCACCACCGCACCGCAAAGTATGAGCAGAAGCCGCGCCCAAAGCCAGGGCCCCGGTAACGTGAGGTAGTCGAGTCGGGGCAGCGTGCCCTGACCCAAGCCGGGGCCGCGGCTTTGGGCGCGGTCTACCGCATCCCTGCGGGCAGCCCCGGGCTATCACATGACACCGGGAGGACGCGCGGCCCCGGCTTGGGTCAGCGCACGCTGCCCCGACTCGGCTACCTCACGTTACCGGAGCCCTGGCTTTGGGTGCGGTCTACCGCACCACCTAACAGGCGTGTTCGAAACCGCAGAAGATGATGATGAACGGGTTTATCGAAACTTGATTGGATGAGCCTATCGGTAATAGCGATTTCAGTGTGTGCATTTACCGGGTGGCCAAAAAAAAAAAAACGTTCCGAACTTTGGAGGCCCATATCTCAAATTCGAGTGCAAATAACGAGCCAAAATTTTCATCAAATTTGCGTCACTTCTTTGCGCATTGGTATGCCAAATTATAACACTGTACCATCATTTTCAAGCCAGCAATCTTATGTTGAATCAAGTAAGACGTTTTTGCTTTTTTGCCGTTGTTGAACGGAAGTAATGATTGGCTTGGACGTACCATGTTAGAAAAAAATAGAACGGCTTGAATGATACCAGCACGTGTGTTGCTATTTTATATATTTTTGTCACACTTATGTGCCAAATATTCAAATACTAAGCCAAAGTTGTGTTAATGGATGCCATTCGTTTCAACACAAGTCCTGTTTCGAGGAGGAGTGGCACGGTGCATGGGTTACTGCTGATTGCCCTCCCTTCAAGAAGATCAAATAGTAAATCGACCGAATAAGGAAAAAAGCTAGAGGGAATGTGTCACCCTGAGGCCTGAACCACCAATGAGACTAGTTGCCAGTAGCAGTCATGGCTGAATAGGCCGTGGTGCCGAGATGGAAGTGGCCCGTTCACTCACATTTTTGGTAAACATCAGAGCAAAAAAGTGATTTTTACATGGCATGCTAGAAACAAGAACCGTTTAAAAAGTATTTGACCGAATAACATAGAAATCATACCATTTACTGAAAATATATGTCGGATTGACTATTGGAAGTTTCAATGTTGTATCTTTATCACTTTCTGAGAAATATTGATTTAAAATTGGGAACGTTTTTTCTGGGCCACCCGGTATTGTTCATA